CCGACGCGCCGCTAAAAGGGCTTTACGCCCTCGAAGGAGGTAGTAGAACGCTACGACCGCGTTATTAAGAGCTAGAGTGCTTCTAAGTAAAAGAAGTTCAGGGAGTATATTAAAAAGGATATCGATAAGGCTAAAAATAAGGCAAAAGAGTCTAAAGCTAAGTTACTAGAGAAAGATTAGTCTAAGGAAGTATCTAATTTCGCTAATAATAGGGAAGAGGATTCTGACGATAGCTCTTACGATATATATTTTACCTCTAATTTCGTGGGAAAAGAGGTAGTATCGTCGACCTCGCCGTCGGTTTTCTCGCTCCTATAGACTAAATAGGTGGTTAGTAACGACCCATTTAATTAGTTACTAATCGATTCGGGGTCCTTAAGGCATATAACTAATTAACGCCACCTGCTTAAGGACTTCTAGCCTACTACCACTATCGTTAGATTTTAAATAGGTGGCGGCACCTTTAATCTAATAGAGGGGTATAGCACGCTACGTCTTTAGGTTAAAGATACTAAAGGTTATCCTTATACTCTTATACTAAAGAATATGGCGTTTATGGATGGATATCCTATAACGCTACTAGTAATACGTAGGTTATAGAAGGATTAGAACGCTATTTTTATAACCGGTAGAGATATCTTAGTAATAGACCAATATACCTGCCTGCCGTTAATTAACGTTAACGGCTAATATACCCTTAAACCGACTAATAGCACGCTATAGCGCTTATAGCAGTAATAGCAGAGCTATTTCAATAGCTTAAGAGAACTAAAGCCTATAAGCGTGGCCGACGCCTGTTTATAGTATAAAAGGCTAGGGCATAGTAACCCTTAAGCACTAGTATAGCTGTTAAAAGGGTGCGTAGGAAGTATCGTGGCTTTAAAAGGAAGAGCAGCACCTTTAGTGGTAGACTGCGAGGCTTACGCTATTAGTAAGGTAAAAAGGATAGTATCGCGACGTCCACCTACTTATAGGCTAATAAGGCCTTTTTAGAGAATTAATGTGGATCTATTTTTAATGGATCCTGCCGCTAACGGCGACGATATAGTTACCCTATTCCACGATCCCTGCATATATAAAAACGTGACTAGAACGATACTAGGGTATAAATATATACTATCCTTAATAGCTAACTTCGAACTTTTCTTATAGAGGTAGTATAGGCTATTTACTAGTGTGATTAGACTCGACGGAGAAAGGGCGCTATAGAAGAAGCTAGATAACTAGTCTTTAGATCGTGGTATCTTACTAGAAAGATCGGCTCCTTATATAGCCGTATAGAACGCTAACGCCGAACGGTATAGGGGTATTATCTTCGCTATCGCGAGGGTATTAGCAGATATCTTAGGCTTTTAATAAGATCTATAGCCAGAGATTATTATAGTAGCTACTTACCTATATAACCGGATTCCACGCAGGGATCTAGGCTAATACACCCCCGAGGGAGCGTTAAACACGTGGCTGTAAAAGGAGGGTATCGTTAGCTTTATAACCACTAATCCCTTAATTACGCATCTAAAGAGGTATAGTTATAAGGCGTACGCGTTAACTACTAACTACCTATAAGGAAGGCATAAGAACGAAAAGCTCGTACTAAGAGTATATATCGGTTATTTAATCGGTTACGAAGGCACTAATATTTTTCGGATTTAGGTGCTAAGATTAGAGAGGATCCTACGTATAAGGGACGTTATGTTCGACGAGTTAGTCCTTTATAAAAACAGGGGAGAGGAGCCTAATATACCTTTAGAGCTATATAAAGAGCTTAATCTGCCATTAGATTAAGGGCGAATCCACGATCCTTTTAGCGTTCTAATAGATATCGTCGATTTCGGTATACCTATAGTAACGTAGCAGAACTCCACGATAAAGGCTTTATAAAAGGGAAGGAGGCGTTAATAATAGCCTTAATCGTTAAGATCTAGGGGGGTGGCCGGCGGTGGTAGTAAAGGATTAAAAACCACTACTAACGTAAAAACCACCGAAAACGCCTCTAAAAACTAATAGGTTACTAACTAAGAGGCATTACGTGGAATGGCTGCCACGGCTACGGTAGGCACGGTTCCTACCGTTATGCCTACCGTTATTCCTGCCGTTGGTTCTTCTTCTTTAACTACTATTTTACTACCCTCTTTAAGAATAGCACTAATTTTACCCTTTTTAATAACCTCTTCTTCCTCTTTAAGGCCTATTTATACGCCCTTTCCGCCACCTCCAAACGATCCTGTAATTAAATATAGCGATTAAGAGGAATCTAATAATACTAGCGGATCTTCCTCCACCTTAAAGGAGGCTATAGGCGAGGCTACCGACGATACCGTCGGAATAGGATTATTATTACCTAACTAATCCGTTATTAAAGAGGCTATAGCCACTACCGCTACTCCTTAAATAACTAATCTATAAGTAGTAACCCTATCTTTAGTAGCTAAGTCTAATCCTACTACTACTACTACTATTCAGGCCTAATAACTAACCTCTCGTTCGCCTACTTTAGCTTTAACGCTTACTCCTATAGGGCAGCCTACTTATAATCGCCGACCTCCTTCCAGATACGACGATTACGTCTCCTACTTTACCTTCGAGAAGCCGAAAAAGCCGTTATTACGCCGCAAGATACCTAAGGAACCGTTAAATTAGTCTTAGATACTAAAAAGCCTATATAAGCTATAATAGCTTAGGGTAGCCGTATAAAAGATGGATACACTTAGATTAATAGGCACCTTTAAAGCAGTAGAGCTACCCTAAGGAGGACAACGTGCCTTAGACCTTAAATAGGTCTTTAAGTATAAGGTTAACGTATCGGGGTACGTTAGTAAGTTTAAGGCGAGGTTATACGTGCGAGGCGATTAATAGCCTAAAAACCACCTTAACGCCTACGCCTCCACTCTCGCAGGAAGGACCTTTAGGTCGTTAATAGCTATTACTACCTATTTTAACCTAAAGACACGTTAGCTTAATACCGTTAACGCCTTTACTAACGCCACCCTTAACGAAGAGATTTACGTTAAGGATCCACCCGGGTAACCGCTACTTTAAGCAGTAAAAGGCATAAAGAGCGATAAGGACCTTAAGGCTATTTTAAAGCTATCGCGACTACCTTTACGCGGTATATAACGCCTACGCAGGGCGTTATATAGTCTTCGGCGTTCCCCTAAGCTATAGCACGAATAGCTCTCTTCCGTTTTAGGTAAGTGCGACCTAAAGGAACTAACCGAAGATAATTACGTCTTTAAAAGTAAGGAACTAATCGTCTTCTTCTACGTGGACGATATTATTCTAATCTATAGAAAGGAATATTAATCTACTACTAATTCTCTTATATAACGGATATAGCAGCACTTTTAAGTAAGGGACTTAGGCCTACTTAAGTGGTTCCTAAGGATTAGAGTAGTTCGAGATCGCTAATAACGTCGGCTATAGCTTTCCCTCGAGAACTATATCACTAAAAAGATTAAGGCCTTAGGGATGGATTTCCCCGTTAATAGGCGTAGGGTTAAAAGCCCTCTTCCTTTTCCTAACGTTTTATAACCTATAACCGAATAAGCCTCTATAGATTTAATCTATCTATATCTGTGGAAGGTCGGTTCTATTAATTATATAGCCTATTAAACCCGGCCTAACGTATCTAAAGCTGCTTTGAGGCTTACCGAGTTTAATACTAACCCGTTAAAATAGTATTATAATACCGTAGATAGGTGTTTAAAGTACCTAGCCTTAACTAAGTCCTTATACCTTTACTTTAGGCCACGCGATAACCACCTATAGCACGCACTTTACTATACTTCCAACACGGCGTTTAGATATAACCGTAAGACTTAGTATAGCTCCTAGGGCTATACTACACTATTATTTAGTGGCTCTATAGACTAAAAGGTAAATAAGTAAATAAGCGTCGTGACCTCTAGTACTAAAGCCGAGCTTATAGTATTTTCTATAGCTATTAGGCAGTATATCGCGACGGGGCGTTTAATTAAGGACCTAACCTTAACCTTTAAGGAGGAACTACTAACGATATACTACGATAACGACTAAACGAGGATCCTATTAGAGGCTCCACGCCCTTAGATTATATCTAGATTAAAGTATCTAGATATCCACGCCCTTTAGATCCGATAGGTCGTTTAATAGAAATAGGTCCTAATCGCCTAGATCTCGACCTAAGAGATAGTCAGCGATAGGCTAACTAAAGTACTTCCCCCGTAGAAATATAAGGCGTTTATATATCTGTTAGGGATAGAGGTCCTAAGCCAGGGGGCTTAAGATAATTTATAAAAGGCGCGGTGCTAAGTTTATAATCTATAGCCTAGATTAACCGTTATTTTTAGTGCCCTTTAGATTATTATTTAGACACCCGTTTTTAACGTTATTATAGGGTTAATTTAACCACCTATTTTTACACGTTTTTAACATTTTTAAGCATAAAAAGAGCGCGCTTTTTAATAAGCCGTTCAACCGTTAGATTAATATCTAGGCCTTTATTTTACCCTAGATTTACGGCTTTAATTAAGCAGAATAGTCAGGATTAATCCTGTAGTTCTGAGGGGGTGTGTTAGATACCTATAGCCACCTTATCGGGGTATGACTTACGCTATTTCTGTAGACGGATAGGGTACTTCCGACCGATATATCCATATTAATTTCCCCTCCTTTTACTTTATAGTTAGATATTTCCGCAGAGTATCTTTTACTCTTCTTCAATGCACACACACATCTTTTACGTACCTTATTTATGTGCTAATAAGATCCGTCGAGGACGTGATCAGAGTAAGGGCCGATCGGGTAATTACCTTATTAGGGTGCTGGGCTGCGCTTTCCCTTGCGATTTACACGTACTGGGGATCGAGTCTCTTCCACCTGTCCCACATATACGGGAGTACTTTCACGAATCAACAGAAAGACGCACTGAAACGCGACACGAACCCCTGATACGTCATACTCTCGGTGTCGTACATAACCACGACCAGAAGGGTCAACAGAGGTATCTTTTATAGTTAGGACAGAAATAATACAGAGACGCATATATAAGAAGAGAAGGTAAAGTAAGAGTCAGTCTTATATTGTCGGAGGTCCTTGAATACCTTAAGGTAAGGACCCTATAAGGTACCTGGACGTTCCCGTAGTCCTTCCCCGCCCCCGCCATTCCTACCTTATTCGTCAGGTACTTCGTAGCACCACACAGGGGTGTACCCTGGATTATCTTGATGGCCCCACTTCTATCTCGGCCGCTCTCGTCTCTTGCTTGTCCTTCTTTGTCCATGCCTCTTTCTCTGCCATTACTTTGTAATTCTATAACCGTGCATCTGTCCGTTCTGGTCTGTACACTAGGTAAGGTAGGGAGTAATTACCGAGTACGGGTACACATGGCGCTATGATTAGTACTCTGGTACGTACCGTGTACATAGCTTCTCAAGGTGGCGGTCGCGTAAGGTAGGTACCTACGGTAGGGTAGGTGGCTTTATAAGGTACCTTATCCTATGTACCTTATGCCATGCGACTTGTGCAGGGGCAGGCAGAACTGAACTTCCTACTGGTCCGTCCCTGTAACTGGAGCCTATTCCCTTCCTCATATCTTACCTTTTTTCCTTCTTCCCTCCCCACTACCTTAGCTTCTTCCAAACAACAACGACGACGCAAGTCTACCTATGTTGCATTTTGGTGATTCTCGATTCCTATCATTCGTATCGCTGAAATCCGATCATCTTCCTTTTCCAATACCACTATCTCTGAATGACCCTTGCATTCTTCTTGGACGACACCAACGGGAGTGCATACACACCAAGAGTTTACTCCTACGTGTGATATCCTACCGACATCCAAACAAACAGCTTTGCTTTGGCTTATATCCCGAAGGCGCCCACTGTTGCTTCCGGTCTTACCGCAGCCGGCGGGTGATCAAACAACGAAACCCCTTCGCACAGTCAGTTACTGTGCTCAAATCAACCCGACCACGTCGCCCCCTCCGTCACCTCCGTCACCTCTACAGTCTCGGCTTCGCCAAGATGGCCCAAGCCTCACAACCCATGTTCATAAATATCCCGCCACCGGGCTCCAACCCAGGCACCCCGTCTGACATGCCGTAGGTCACACCATGTCGCCGTGTGCAGCCACAAAAACAACAAACCCTCCTGTCTTGATCTTTCCCTTTCCCTCTTGCGACGACGGCTCGTTGCTGCGACTGACGTCTTATGCCAGTGGTACACCCACCAGCACCACCACCTCTCTGTCCGCTCTCTCGACCACCGCTATCAAAGATGGCCAGCGGGGACACCTTCCCCATGGCCCCTCGAGTCGCGGCCATTCCCACCACCCTTCCGCCACGAGCCTCGAGGCTGAGCGTGCCGACCGAATTTCCCGCCTAGCCGGCCTCGAACGAGTGTCAACCCTACGCTCCGGGCCTCCCGGCGCCCAACAGACTGCTCACCACCCACAGGCTGACGACTCCCCCCAAACCACTACGCCGACCTCGACCGGCGGCTTCCCTCTACACCCGCACCTCACGCCCGCCTACTTCGATGCGCAGGGCCAGCCAACAGCCATGACCAAGATAAGCACGGTCGGTACCGCGAGCGCCACCGAGAGCTACCCAGACGATGACCACGACACGCGCACCGCAGCCGGCGATCGCGACGAAGACATCCTTAGTACAGATACGAATTACCGAGACGTCGGGTCGGTCACGAGCACGACTGCGGAGCCGGACCCGGACCACATGGACGAGGATACAGACGGCGGCACGACCCGGTCCATGGGCGGCTACGAGGACCGCATGAGCGACGATGGGTCCGCAAGCCTCGTCGCCTTTGGAGAGGGGGCCAACAGCACGGTTTCGGGGCCCATCTATCACCGTCGCCCCGTCCCGGGTGTCACATCGCAACCTGGTCCCGGCGGCCATTGGACTCTGGAGAGGAGCAATTCCGGACTGAGCGACACTTTGCCGACTACCCAACGTAACCGAGACGTCGGCGGGGGCGGCGGCGGCGGCGGCGGCGACACTCCCATCAGTGCCAGCGCTCTACAGGAACGGCGGGAGGCGAGGATGGTGGACGGTGTCGCGGCTGACAGTGCCGGCCTTTCCGAGGCGGAGATGTTTGTCGATACGACCAACCGACCGCCCGTGCCCACAAGTCAGCTTCAACATGCCTCCTCACAACAGCACCTCAATAACGCCAACCAATCATTATCGTCCCCGTCAGCCAACCGCCGTGGAAGCCGCTGAGCGGCTGGTGCGGGATAGGCCAGACCGGTGGAGGACGGCGTACAGGTAAACAGTGTTACGATGCTGGGCCGAACTAAGCTTGACTACGACGGGGAAGCAATTGTTAGGGAAAATCATAGTTCGAGGAGGGAAAGTGACGAGCAATTGATGATACGCTTTGCGAGTTCGCCTTTGTTTCGAATTAATGTGTTTAAGATAAGGGTCTTTTTGCGTTTTGTCAATGGTTTAGGAACACTTCCTGGCGAAGACATGCGGTGCATGGAACGAGACAAGCCTCTGGTTAAAAGAGCTATGAGGGGAGGATGCGAGTTACGGGCTTGGGCCCCGGTAACATGAACGATGCGATGTTTTGTTTATCTGCTCCGGTATCGTTTTCTGCCGAGTATTAGGGATATGGTTTCTCCAGGGATGGTTGAACGAACGGGCCCGCCTTTCGTATCGGTAAAACAGGCGCAATGCATTTTTACTCTATTCGCAGTTCTACTTTGTGCACACCACCATTCGTTGACCTCCTAAACTCCTAAAACTCCACCCTCAATTTCTTGCCATGTCGCCGGTGGGGTCAGAGTCCTACCAGGGAACGGACGACATGGACCAAGGGCGGGATGGACGTAAAGAGCACAGTGATAGTGCCGAAGAGACTCATGCTCAGGCTGGAAAGAGCTGCAGCACGGGGGTCGGTGCGGAGGAGCACAGCCGTCGCAATCGCCGAGGAGTTGGCGCCCAGCGTGACGCCACGGGTGACGTAGTCATCTGATCCACGTAAAACAGTCAGTAGATCGGTTCCCTCGCTCTGTTTTCTCCGAAGAAATCGAGGGGAGACAAAGAAAGAAAAGCAAAACGAAAAAAAAAAAAAAAAAAAAAAAAACCTTTACTCACCCTCGGGAATACGAAGCCAGCGCAACATCCTCTCCCCGACCAGAGCGCCCAGGATGCCGCTCATGATAGCCACAGCGGCAACGGTGTTGCGGTCGCCGCCGAGGTTCTCGGTGGCGGGGATGGCGAGGGCGAGGGTGAGGCTGCGGGCGGCGAAGGCGAGGGAACGGCGCGCCTCGATGCCGACGGCGGCGCAGAGGGCGGGGTAGCCGAAGAGGCTGGCGACGGAGAAGGCGACGGACGGGGCGACGATGGCGAGGAAGTGGGTGCGCAGCTCGCGGCGGTACTGGTACATGGGCAGGGCGAGGGCTACGATGGCGGCGTCGAGGACGGTGGCGAAGAGGTCGCCTGCGCCGGGAAGGGGCCGATTTGGTCCGGTGGCGTGGTGGGAGGGGCGCCAGAGGGCTTGGTAGGTGGCGCCTGTTCTGTAAGGGGACAGGGCTTCGTGGAGGGAGGCGGCGCTGGTTTTGCCGTCGCTTACGATCCCGGTGCGGATTGCGGCGAGGGCCCAGAGGCCTAGGAAGGCGAGCAGGGCGGTGACGAGGACGGGGTGGAGGTATTGGCGCCAGTTGGGGGGCACGGCGAGGGCGGCGAGGTAGCAGAGGATGGTGAAGGTGAGGTGGGCGGGCATGGCGTAGCCGGTGGAGAAGTACACGGGGAGACCGGCGAAGAGGAATAGGAGGGTGTAGATTACGGCGTTGGGGTAGCGGGTGAGGCGGGCGGCCCAGATCTGTGCGCGGGGCGCGGGAGGGGGGTACTGAAGCGGGAGCGACGGTTGGACGAAAGCGGTTGGATTCGAGTTCAGGTTCAGGGTCAGCGCGGAGGTTTCGTTGGGATGGCTCCCGCGCGGACCGAGGCTGGCGTCTTGGAAGAGATGCGATGGGGTCTGTGACGGTGGTGGCGGGACGAGGCCGTTCAGGGAGACGGCAGATGGAGAGGCGGAGATGGATGGCGACTGCGGGGTGGAAGAGGGCTGGGAGCGGTCCCCGTCTCGGTCCGAATTTGGATAGTTTTCGCGAGGGAGCGAGTCGGCCAGGGGAATGCCGTCTGCGTCGTTGCGCATCTCTTCGGCGCGCTCGATGGCGGCGCGTTTGGAAGTTCCGAGGAGGAGTTGCAGGCCGCGAGTTACATATGCGGCGGCAGCCATCATGACGACGAAGCCGACGACTTTGAATTCATTCGACTATGTTAGAATAGAAGTAGGAAAATAGAGGGCGAAGAAGGGGGAAGAAGAGGTTCGGGTCAGCGGGGCAACTCACGGAAGACGCCAATGATTTTGGACACTTCGGCAATACCTATGGAGGGACTAAGAGGAAGGAGAATGAAGGACGGCGTGAAAAACAGATTAATCCATCGAAGGGACCAGCCAGCCTAGGGGTAGTGGGGGTACACTCATGTCAGGACTGGTTCGGGCTTCTGGGCGAGATTGCGGGGAGAGGACGGAACGACAGGCAACTTGGTTTGTCCCACTTACAGGCACATCGATGAGGTTGACGATGGCCCTGGTACGATGACCACCCAGGAGCCTCTCGGACAGCAGAAGAGCCAAAAAGAGCAAGATTAGACAAGCGACGGAAGCGGGAAACAAGATTCCGGTCGAGTCTAGGGCGGTGTGCACGGCAAAGGAGAAGGCAAGGATAAAGGCGATGCCGAAGGGAACGTAGAGCCAGGCGGTAAGGAGTTTGGGGGCCGTGGCTATGAAGAACTGTCAGGGTGCCGTCCGTCAGTACCCTTCGTTCGTCAAAGGCAATGACATTGGGGATGAAAGAACGGACCAGCTTGAAGGCGGTGGCGGCATCACGGAGGGCATCAGGAAACGACGGGGCGGTCCTTTCGGCGGGGATGTTGCCGGTGTCGTTGCCGGTGTCGTTGCCGAAGTAGGGGGCAGCAGTAGCAGCAGCCCTCATCATTCCCGAGTCTGGGTTCGTAGTTGAGAAGGAAAGAAGCTTTTGGTTACGCCCCAAGTCATTCGAGCAAAAAAAGCAAAAGCAATGCGAGTCAGAGCAGAGGGATCAGGTCGTTGGTCGACGAGAAGAAGATGGTGGTGGTTTAGTGATTCCGTTGGTGTTGAGCATTTCCGGTTGAAGAGGGAAACGGTGAGGGGAGGAAAAATAAAAGTGAAGTTAACAGGTGAGTCAACAGTGAAAGATTTCCGCATGGACCTTTTGCTTTTTGGAATCACGATGCGATTTCAGGTCGAATGATGGATATGACAATGTGATGCTTGTCCTTGTCGCCGGCCCAGGAAAGACTCGGGAGCATGATGGACGTTGGTTGTGTTGTACGTTGTATCGAGGCCGAGCTCGGCATAAGCTGAGACCGAGGGACGAGCCCCGCCGATAGCGGGGCAGATGTACGTTGTACCGTGCACCGTGCGGAATGCGGGGTCAGTATATTACACTGTGTACCATCTTATAAACTGCCGACGAACCTCGAAATCTCATATCGGCCCTTTCCACTTAATCATCCCCAGCCCAAGGTTGAAAGTCTGGTTGGCATTAGCCCTTAGTCCTCGACTTTTCCTTTCCCCTTCTTTTCCGCTCCCCGTCCTACGTATACGAAAAGGCCGCGAATGCGACATATAGCCAGGTGACGTGGGCTATGTTCACCACCACACCACCACACCACCCACCCTGGAGCCAAGTTCGCGTTCCACCCGCATTGGATCCTTATTGGCTTGGCAGCATGGGACCCAGGGGTCTGGACACAGCCTTGCTGGACGCCTTTAAGGATTAAGGATGCGATACCTACTACCATGCGGGAAGGCCTCATTCGGGGCACGCCCCCTTTCGAAAAACCACCCGAGAAACAAAAGTCCCTCCCCTTGTTGTCCGTACAACAGACCGAAGACATGAACCCGCCAGAGACAACCTGATATATTATCCTCCCTGCTCCCCCAAAGGTCCCATTTCATGAAACCAAGGTCTTCGTATTCCCAGGTGGCCATCCGGGGTATATCAAACTCGTCATTCGAACACCCCGACTCACTTCAGCGGCCCCCGGCCAACTCCTCCCCAACATGACCCAACGAACCACCACCCGCCCCCCCGCCCCCCAGCCAAAACAACGCGTCGTAGTCCGCGAACCAACCGGCTGGGCCTTCAGGGTCGAACGAGAAGCCGCGCTCCCCCAGAAAGTCTGCGCCTTTCTCGTGCGACTGCCCGAATCCCAGTCCCAAGCCCGCGACGACCACGTCGGCGACAGTCGCATTCCGTGGCTCTACCGGCGCGCCAGGTACATCGCCTTCCTCAGGCTCGTCTTCGCTTTCGTCGTCGGCACCTTCAACATCTACTTCGCCGCCACGCGGAGGGACGATCCTCCGTTCCTGGCCTATGCCGTGACGGGCATAATTCTCGTTAGTGCTCGGCTCGACTCTTTCCCTCTGTTGTTTCTGCCTCGCATGGGAACCATCCCAAGTCCCCAAACTGACGCCACCTCGGCCGCAGGGCTACCTGCACATACACCCCCTTGACATGAGATACGAGATGACATCGCCCACGAACCCGAGGCCCAAAGTCCTCTACATTGCCCGCCTCGCCTTCTACACCGCCGGCTGGACCACTCTCACCGTCCTGTCGCTCTTCATCGCCACCACGGGCATCGACGCGCGCTCGCAGTCCAGCCTGCACCGCAAGCGAGACGACCTGGGCCTGGGCCTGCTACACTTACACTGGCTGGAACCGAGGCGAAGGCTTTCGGGTGGGCGAAGCCGAGCATCGCTACGCGGGATGAGCCTCGAAGGCGCCGAGAGGGGTCTCCTCTACACGTGTGCCGTTCTGTCGATCCTTTCGCTGTGAGTTGGGACAATTCCTTTCGCCCGGTCGGTTGTCTGCATTCGATATGCACGAAACGCCGCTATGAATGGGCACCACTGACCTTGTCTCCTCTCCCTTTTTGCGAACTAGATTGCTTTCTCTCTGGCACTGGACATATGTCTACCGTCTTTGCTTTCGCAAGTATACGGAAGAAGAGGTTCGCCTTGCCCCCTTTATCCTTCGTAAGAAGTACTGGCCCGATCAGCCTGTAGAAGAGAGCGGAGTAATTCAGCCTCGCAGAGACGCAGGGCAGGAAACCAAATCTACAGCGCACACTTAAGGAGCAAGGCAACGCTCGGAAAGCTGCCCGGGTTCGCTTTCAACCCAGATGCAGCCAAGTACCGGGAGAAGGATTACCGAGGATTTTTATAATGAGGATCTATGAAATAAGAATTGTGTATTATAAATCTGTTTTGATTTTATGCGCCAGCACGCGCTGAAGCAGAGTTCGAAGTGGGTTAGCTACTTTAGGTCTCTCGAGCAGAGACTGCATATGAAAGATTCGAGAAGGCCTCCCGGCAAAGCAAAATTTCCCCATGCACTCTGCTTGCTCCGAGCAATGCTGAGCGGGAATCAAGTATCATGAAATAACCCTTGAAGGCTCAAAGACAGGCTGAAGCTACCATCGCCTGGCTCTTCGACCCGTGCTAGTCGTTGGACTTGGCTGTCTGAGCTAGCCGACGGTCGACCTTGTACCACGAGGATACCAGCAGCCGGAACTGGACCGAGCGGCGTCTCTCAGCCGGCAGACGCGCCGCACGAAACAGATCCTTGTCGAACTCTTTCCGGGCAGATTGGATCCAGTGGTATACATCGATGACCTGCGGGCGAAGCCACTTGCGCATATCTCTCTCCCGGATCTCGACCCAGGTGCGGCATCGGTCCTGAAACATGGCAATACTGGGGTCCTTTCTGGCCTTGGCTGTCATTCCGTCATGATACGCGTCAGCAGATCCATCTCAATATTGTTACAAGAGGAACATACCAGCGAGAGAGTCCACGAGCTCTTTGGGCCCCTTGTTTGTCATCGAACGATCCATGTGAGAACCGTTCAGCTGGAACTGGATAAATACGTTCTCGAGGTCCGGGAAGTTGTACAGGAAGCCTGTCAGTCCCCACAGGCATATGTTGCCAGACAGGGCCAGCGAACTGGAGCAGCCGATGCGGCAGTGACAGCGTATACCGTAACAGTAGTAGCCGTCCCAGCGCACGGAGACATTGCGCACCTGGCCCGTTCCCACAAGCCGCTCTCTGGCCTCCCGGCTAATGCTGTTGTCCTTGGCAAAGTCCATGCCAAAGAGCGACTGCAACCGAGAATCAAAGATGTACACGACAAGATCCCAGGGGCGGACGGCCACCAGCTGATCGTGTCGGACGCCGGTGCGTTTCCCGAACTGCTTCTCAAACGCGGCTTTCGCCTCGGGGATCACGGCGGCCACCTCGGCTGCCCACTTCCACTTGCTCTCGTAGCCCAGGCGGCCCTGCACCAGTGAGATTCGGTCCCCGGCGCGCCTCGGCTTAGGCGGGTGAATCTTGGGCGTGACGTAAACGATGCTGGGGCCGGACTGGAATGCATAGAGGTAGATTTGCTCACGCAACTCGCCGGGAAGTTTCTCGAAGAGGTGGAACTTCTTAGTCCGGAACTTGGGGTCGACGAGAGTGCGCGAGTATGACTTGGCCTGGCCTATGGTAAGGGGACGTCTCAGAGGAGGTGCTTTGGCTTGTTTCGCCGAGTGACGCTTGTGCCCGCTCTTGAGAGACGCTTTCCAGGCTTTATGGTAGGAGTGTTGGGGCTATATGAAAGGGGGCATTAGCTACGCCGCGTTCTCGAACTTGCAGACATGCCAAGCCATACTTACCGCCATTTTGGTCCAGACGGATGGACTGTTTGAGCTGTGCTGAGCCGATGCGAGGGGGAGAATCGAGTTTTGAGACTAGTGAAAGATGAGTGAGAAAGAGGACCAAAGAGCTTATGTGAAGGTGGTGCAAAGAGCGGTGGTAAATATTTCTCCCTTCAGAAGCAATACGCGTTCAAGAAAAGGGCAGAGATGGAGAGTTGATCTGATGGAAGGAACATTCAGTATCGTAAGAAGGCAGCCACGTACCTGACTTTAGGGAGGGAAGGTGCCGATAACTGCGGTGTATCAAGTTTTGAGATAGTTGTGATATCTTCCTGTAGGAGTCGAGCGCTCGGTCACATGAAGCTGTCCTTCTGCCGGAGTGCTGGAAAAAATCACGGCGTGATATCCAAGCCGGTTGGAGATGTGAGAGGTCCTGGTGGAAGATATTGACCCTCGTGGTGTTGGGGAAAAGAAAGGATAGATAGGTCAAGTAGGTAAAGAGATAATGGTGAAATAGATATGAGGGTAAGGAGGGCAAGGAAGGTGTAAGAACCTAAGTCACGTTGGGCTCTGGAAATAAATCCTGGGAAAAGTATCTGTATCTCTGTGTATAGGGCCCTTACTTTGGCAAGGGCATCTTTTAATCGTCAATCTAACTCCCTCTGATTCAACGGGAAAGCGCGAGTTGAGATGAATAGATACCCTGTGGTTAATTTGGTAAAAACCGAGTAGAAAGATAACTACCTTACTCAAGTTGGATGGAACAGAGTCCAATAGAGAAAGACAAGAAGGACAAGAGACGGAGCAAAGAAAATTCACCCAAGTGAGGGGTTGTCCATGCATGGCGCCTGTCCTTCGATCTTGAAGTTGCCAGCAGGCTGCAGGTCTCCTTCCAGCGAGGGCCTTGACATGGAGCTCATTGAACTTGATAGAGAACGAAGTCAATTCTGAGTATGTGGACGTCTTGAATGTTAAAAAGGCAACCCGGAAATGGGCTGCGTTCGAGATAACGACGTTCGCGGAATAGTCATCGTCGAAACGCCTTTTGACTGCATGCAACTGCAGCATGACACGACTTCACCGAGAACGCGGAGAGGACGTATCCGTAGTGTGATGGAGGGGACCATGGATCGAGGGCAAGACACCAAATAGCCGGAGAATTCGAAGCCAGTACGTGAAATACAGAGCTCATGTTCTGCAGCTTTGCTTCCTTCATTGATGCTGGTAGGTAGTGAGGGACTAGTCCGACTGGATCTCGGGGGTCATGTTGAGTTGGTGACTGGGGTTAAGGTCGGGGGGTCGGACTTAACTTATTCCGCATCTATGCGGCGCACGGACCAGAATAGGTAAGCGCGTCGCCGACGTCCACCGCCATCTTCATTTCTCTCAGCTCCAGGGACACGACCGCCATCATCCTTCGCGACGCATCAGGGTTTGGCAAGGCCTTAAGAATGCATAAAATTTCTTCTTCGCAATGAAATTTCAAAATCTCTTGGCCAAGAGTACGCACATTGAGTCGCGTCTTCCCCGGTCTGGGCTAGTTCCCAGCTCTCACGGGCATCTCTAGACATCGTGGTATCTTTCATCCCACGCTCCCATCCCAACCGTGATCTTTCCACGACCTGCTTAAGAACGATACAAAGTCAATGCCAGAAAATCGACCGGCGATTTTCTTATTCTTTTTTACCCCCCTTCCACGGACTAGAATTGGGCTTGTGACACCCTTCGTCCCCGCGTCACTTGGCTCTCATAACGTCCGAAGATTAAAATTCCCAACGTTTCCTTCAAGGAACGACACCCATTATCCTGGACCGGTTGCTCGTTGCCACACGCGACTGGTCGTTATGACGGTGTACATCAAATACTTTTACTTCGTTGATTCTTCCCAGAAGACCGTGAAGTGAAGACAGTGGTGTTCGTCATGTCGCTCCTATCACTCTCCTCCATCTCTATCCCCTCCTACGACAGCTTCAGCCTCCCCATTTCCTTACAAATACATCATCTGAAATGGCATATGTACGCGATATGCACACGATGTGAAGGAGAATAAAGACTTTAATTATCGTCTACCTTGATCAGAAAGGCCATATAACCCGCTAGGATCCTTGCCGTCAGCCCAATCGCGTCCTCGAGGAGAAACCGCAATCAGCCAACAACCAAATAGCGTAAGAGTTACCAGCCCATCCATCGATTCTCCCTCAAAACTTCTTTTTGTCGTTTTTGTCTTTTTTTGTATCTTCTTGTTGGAAATATGTATTGTTGTTGGTGTGTGTGTGTGTGTGTGTGTGTGTTGCCGTCTTCGTCATGTTGGCTGTGAGACGGCAAGGTTGATATCATCCGTATCGGCCGAAGAAAAGTCCAACCATAGGCAGTGTAGGTAGGTCGCATCCCCAGGGCCCCTGGACCATGAGGCGTAGCTATGCCTCCGAGAGATGAAGTAATGAACCGGCGGCGGTTCGGAAGAACCAATGCATATCCTCCTCCATGAACCTGAACACCAGCGGCAAACGGGGTATCCATGCAATGCCAAAACCAATACGTGCGCCCCCTCCTCTTTTTGGCCAGTCCATCCCCTGCCACGAATGGTGACCCCCCGTTGATGTTTTTTTCGTCCCCGCATCCACCTTCAACTCATGCCAACCGCCGCGTCCCTAGATATCCCCATATCCCTATCATTCCATCGTCGGCAGATGATCATCAGGTCGCTCTGACGCCAGTCAAGCCACACCAAGCCAATCCGACCCTTCCCTCCACCAAATTGTTACTCCAAATATGTCTCCGGACGGCGGTGGCAGCCAGTGTCGTCACAACGCCACCGGACACCCACCTCGCGTAGCAGAGCCATATCAGACTCCCGTTGTTTCCGGGACACCAAGAAAAAAAAGCAAAAATCCTTTCCTTCCCCGAAAACGCCAGGCTGAGCTCTTGTCCGCCAGCCGTAATCCCCTGCAACGCCTCGTAAGTCGAGTCACTGAACATA